TAAAAAAAAAGTATAAAGACCTTAAATATTTATATAAAAGCTACAAACCTTTTCCCACATATTCCATTTTACTTGTTTCTGTCCCTTTTCTAGAACTGATATATCATCCTGACATAGTAGTCTTTTACTTGATTCCTGGCTGAAGCCGAATGTGGGGGTAAAAGTCGAAAATGCAAGAAAAATCAGGTTTTCTTTGTTAATCTGAATCAGAAAAAAATAACATTATTATTAATTAAATAAGATCTCATAGAACTAATCATATTATTATACAACTTAATATAACATCTTTATAACAACATTAACTAAAAAAAATTAGGTACAAAAAATTAAAATATATGAAAAATTATTTTTTTGAAAAGATTGTATAGTATTACGTTAGATAACAAAAGATATGTAAATGACACTTTAGGTCTCTGTAGTTTTAATATTCTGGAGTTATATTTTTAGTCCCTGTAGCTTTATATTTTAGGAATTACACTTTTGGTCACTATGAAAGTGGGAAATAAGCAAAAGATACTTTTGGTTCCTATAGTTTTAGTTTTCCAGAATTATATTCTTGGTCCCTAAAGTTTTTAGTTTGCGGGAATTACATTTCTGGTCCTTGTAGTTTATTTTTACAAAATTACATTTTTAGTCCCTGTAGTTTTTAATTTGCAAAAGTTAAATTTCTGGTCCCTGAAGTTTTAAATTTTTGGAATATGATTGCATAGTTATAATAAAAATGAGTATTTCATATTGTATAATTGTAGTTTTCAAGGATGCTTTTAGTAATGTGGATATGATTACATTATCTAATTTCTAAATAGTAGTTATATATTTGGTTGTAGCTAGTCATTATGTCAACACGTAGTGATAGAAAGTGGATGTACAAAAGGTTAGATCATGGGTATCTTAGCACAACATATCATGCATCCGTCAAAGGATTTCTGGATGTTGCTTTTTCTAATGAAGCAACCGTTGATGGGGATTATATTAGATGTCCTTGTTTTAAATGCAAGAACATGTATTATAAAACAAGAGGTGATGTAGAGCTTCACTTGTTACAAAATGGTTTCACTCCTAATTACACAACTTGGTGGGCACATGGTGAAAGAAATACGATATCTCAGCACGAGGAAGAATCTTCTAATCCGATGCAGGATCCGATGGAAGATGATGATGATGATGATGTTAATGGGTGTACACAAATGTTGATGGATGTAATGGAGGAACGCCCGAATCCAACTGCCAAGGGGTTCTATGATATGTTGGAAGATGTTGATGAACCTTTGTGGGATGGATGTGAAAATTATTCAAAATTACAAGTTGCAACAGAGTTGTTGCATTGGAAGTCAGAATACAATATATCTGAGGCTGCTTATGATCACATACTTCCTATAATTAAGCGGATGCTACCCAAAGGTGAGAAGCTAGTTGAGAACTTCTATGAGACGAAGAAGCTTTTGAAAATAGTTAGACTCCCAGAAAAAAAGATCCATGCTTGCAAAAACCATTGCATGATATTCTATGGGGCAAATTCTGATTTGACTAAGTGTCGAGTGTGTGATCATGATCGGTACAAGAGTGGCAGACTGCCATATCTGATTATGAGGTACTTGCCGATTGCTCCTAGACTCCAAAGGTTGTATTTGACAAAAAGAAGGCAAAGTAAATGACATGGCACTATGAACATCAAACAGAACCGGGTTTGATGGTCCATCCAAGTGATGGTGAGGCTTGGAAGCATTTCGACTTAATGCATCAAGAATTTTCAAGTGAACCACGTAATGTTCGGCTTGGGCTATGCACCGATGGGTTCAGTCCAAATAACTCAAATACAACCCTGTATTCATGTTGGCCTGTTTTCCTTTCAATTTATAACTTGCCTCCTTGGATGTGCTTAAAAGAACCATATGTTCAGTTAAGCATAGTTAATCCTGGAAAAAAGAGCCCATGTCAAAATATAGATGTGTTTCTCAGGCCGCTAATTGACGAGTTAAAGATGCTATATACAGACGGTGTTGTCACTTATGATGCTTCGACTAAATGCAATTTCACAATGAAAGCTATACTTCTTTGGACAGTTAGTGACTTTCCGGCTTATGCAATGTTATCGGGATGGAGCACACATGGCAAGTTAGCGTGTCCGTATTGTATGGGTGAGTCGGGGTCGTTTCGGTTACACCATGGTAGTAAACCATGTTGGTTTGACTGTCATCGAAAATTTTTACCTGAACAACACACTTATAGGGGTGACAAAACAAGATTTCTGGCTAATAAGGTTGAGAGATCTAGCCCCCTACCAATATTAACCGGTGATCAGATTTGGGAGCAAGTACGACACTTTCCAACTGTTTATGAAGGCAAACCTTTTAGAGCGAAGAATGCAAAATTGCTTGGTTTCGGGATTACTCATAATTGGGTTAAGAGGAGCATCTTTTGGGAGCTACCATATTGGCGGAAGTTGTTAATACGACATAACCTTGATCCCATGCACATTGAGACAAATGTGTTTGAAAATCTTTTCAACACTGTGATGGACACTCCGAAAAGCAAAGACAACATGAATGCAAGAAAAGATATAGAAATGTATTGCAATCGAGTGCAATGGCATACATGGAAGAAGGGAAATAAGGATATGAAAAAGAGAGCATCGTTTGCTTTGAGCAAAGAACAAGTAGCTAAAATATGCCAATGGTTGATTAAACTTAAATTCCCGGACGGATACGCCTCAAACTTGGGGGGGGGTGCGTTAATGTAGATGATAATAGCTTTTACAAATTCAAGAGTCACGAGTGCCATGTATTTCTTCAAAGATTGTTGCCTATTTCTCTAAGAGGTATGGTGCCAAATTCAACATGGGATGCAATTACAGAGATGTGTACATTCTTTCGTGTAATATGTTCAAGGGTGTTACGCGTAGATGACTTACAATGCTTGCAAACTACTATTGTTGAAACCATTTGCAAGTTGGAAAAAATATTTCCACCTGGATTCTTTGATTCAATGGAGCATCTTGTTATACACTTAGCTCGAGAAGCTATGCTTGGTGGTCCGGTTCAATATAGGTGGATGTATCTTTATGAAAGGTATATTTTTTACCATACAAAATATTCTACCATAAAACCTATGGAATTTCTAGTAAGTCTTTTCCAACATCTTTTTAGGAAGTTGGGATCACTGAAAAGAAAGATAAAAAACCATGCGAAGGTTGAGGGGTCCATTGTTGAGGCTTACATGATTGGAGAAATATCGACTTTTTGCTCACAATACTTTTTGCCTACAATTAAAACCCGGTTGAATCGTGAGTCGCGTAATTTTGCCCCAGACATTCCTAGTTATACCATGGTCGACTCTCGATTAAGCATTTTCAAAGTTCCATCTCGAAGATTATTCGAAAAAAGTGGACAATGGAGGCCTTTGACAGATGATGAGATGCGTATTGCTCATAATTACATCTTGATCAATTGTGTTGAGGTTCTACCTTTTTTAAGGTATGTCAAGTTATCTATTTTTCCTTGATATCGTGAATCTCTAAAATGTTTGTTATTTTTTAAGGTTGTTTGAAAATTATGTGATCCAAAGCCAACCTGATATGGATGATGGAGCATTTGAAAGGTTTAGGGATCAACATTTTGCTAAGTGGTTTAAAGATCATGTGAGTATGATACGAGAAAATTTTGTGTTACCAAAGTGTCTTCCCCCGTGAATTAGTTAACAAATGAATTTATCAATGTAGGTTTTTCAACAATCAAATGATATCAATCAACATCTGAAATGCCTTGCACGAGGACCATTACGACATGTTAGGTCCTATAAAGGATACTTTGTCAATGGTTACAAGTTTCATACTGAAAAATATGGTGATGGACGGGTCACACACAATAGTGGTGTATGTGTACGAGGGACTTGTTACAATGAGACTGAGTGTGACTATTATGGGTTGTTGGATGAGGTCTTAGAAGTAGAATATCAAGGCATAGGGCGTTGCATCGTAGTATTGTTCAAGTGTATATGGTTTAACCCTACTGAAGGGGTACGTGTGGATCGAAAGCATAATTTGGTTGATATTAAATACAAATCAAGGCTAAGAAATGAAGATCCATTTATCCTAGCATTACAAGCAGAACAAGTGTATTATGCACCATATCCCGCAATGAAGGATTTGAAAGATTAGTGGGCTGTCGTCAAGACGAAACCAAGGGGTGTATATGATCTAAGACAATGTGTTATTGAAGAAGATGATGATGAGGATGAAGAGGACCAATTCTTTCAAGAAAGTGAAGCAATTTTACCTTCTACAAGTAGTGGTGCAAATGAGGTGGCAGGACCCCTTTCTCATGTAGTTGAAGGAGAAATAGAAGAAGTCAATGACAATGACATTGAGAGAGAAGAGGATGAAGAAGTTGATGATAACTTGGATGATTCATCCCAAGATGATATTGAAGATGAAGACAACATATGTGATGATAATTCTGATGATGATTAATTACTAAAAATGTGGAATGAAACAATGTATTTGGAACTATATATTGCCTAATGGACCTTATCAATAACTTTTTAGCTAAAATGATCGTTTTCTTTTTCTATATACATTGCACTTTCATTTATTTGTGTATTATATCATGTTACCTTCTCTTACTTCTAAAATTTTCTATTATAATACATACTTGTTCTAACCAATAGTTTATTAATTCTTGATTTTAAGGGCTATTTTTTTGACTAATGGCGCCACGAGGAGCCCGTGGTGGTGGTCGTAGTGGTAGTTACATTGGTGGTCGTGATGCTGGAGATAGAAATGCATCTCAATCACACAATAATGCAGAAAGTCAACCTTCTTCTTCTTCAGTTAGAGGATTAAACATCTTGGAATAAGTTCCAAGTAACCCATCAAAAAGGAAGTTCATTGAAGTCGATTCTGAAAAGGAGTACTAATGTTAATTTTACAATTGTTTATGAAAATGAATTTACTTGTTAATGATAATACTAATGCTAATTTTTTTAATTATTTATTTTTTGCAAGATTTACGGATCAGATTTCAGTGATCAGAGCCATCGCATGTATACTGAAGACGATGTTTGACGACCCATGGACCTCATGGAAGAAGGTTGACAAAGAACATCGTGATGCAATGTGGGAACACTTCAAGGTTTGTACTTATTATTTTTATGATTTATCAAAGTAAAACTTGCTGTAAAATGGAAAAGATAACTATATGCGTGATCTACATGTAGGGTTTGTATGTCTGGCCCGAAGCGACTGATGTTCTTGCTCGCAAGGTATGGGAAGACTGTATGAAGAAACGATTTCCTGACATAATGCGAAGAGCACGTGAAGAATCTTTAAAACTTGCCAAAGCTGCAAATGTGAATGCCTCATTAGAAGTTGATTTAAATTTGCTAAAGGACTATCACCCAAATTGGATAAAAAAGGAGTATTGGATAAAAATGATCAATGAAGTGTGGACCACATCCAAATGGAAACGTTTATCACAATCAGGGAAAAATAACAGAAATAAATTAGAAGATGGCTCTGTTTCCAAACATACAGGGGGTTCTATATCTATTCATCAACATAAGAAAGGAATGGTAAGATGTTTGCATCTCACCTTAGTTTCCACTTAGACTATTGAGTTTTTGTTTTGTTTTTTAATGTATTACTAATGGATTTTGTAGCAAGCAACACTTAAACGCCCTCCTACAGGAGTTGAACTTTATGCAAGGTTGCACACTAAACCGTTTACTCAAGAGTACATTACACCAAAGGCAGCTAAAGTTAAGGTATTTTCAATTCTTTTTTAGGAAACAAAACATCCTACTACTCGGGTTAATGACTTCGTTAAAGCAACAAATTTACAGAAAACAAATCTTTCGTGAGTAGTAATCAACTCACAAAAGAAAAGAAACAAATTATTATATGTAAATGTTTTATCCTTTGCCTAGTTGTAATTAAGTATTTTGTAAGTAGTAATCAACTTTATAAAAGGTTTGAGTATTAATTAATAGGAGGCTTATGAAGTGGCTCATTCCATTCCTTAATTATGAATTTAATGGAATGGAATGAACCATTCTATTCCTTATTTCATGTTTCTGTTATTTCATATTTTTTTTGCTATAATAGGAGGCTTATGAAAGTGCTATGGTGGCTAAGTTTGGTGATGATACTAGTTGCCACCCCCTCTTGGATAATGAAACATGGTGTGATGTTTCCGGAGGAGTCAAGAAAGGAAGAATATATGGAGTCGGATCTGTGTCTGATCCATCGAGCTTTTTGGAAGGAACATCTAGTACAATAACATCCCAAGAGGTACTTTATAAAAATTTCCTATCATATCATTGTACTTACAAAGTTTCCTATCATGGCATTGTACTTACAAAGTTTCCTATCATGGTATTGTACTTACAAAGTTTCCTATCATGGCATTGTACTTACAAAGTTTCCTATCATGGCATTGTACTTACAAAGTTTCCTATCATGGCATTGTACTTACAAAGTTTCCTATCATGGTATTGTACTTACAAAGTTTCTATCATGGCATTGTACTTACAAAGTTCCTATCATGGCATTGTACTTTAGGTTGTCTATGAACGTGTACGAAACGAGATGCGAGGGGAAATGGATGCTAAAGCTGCAGAAATGGAAGCTAAACATCAACAAATGCGTGAGGAAATGGATGCGAAAGCTGCAGCAATAGATGTCAAACAACAACAAATTGATGCAAAATATGAAGCAATGGAGAAGATGTATGCAGCCTTGCAAAATATGATGAGAAATTGAAAATTAGAGGTAATATGATGTTAACCATTAGTATTTGATGTTTTTGAATGACTTGTTAACCTTTTGTATTTGATACTTTTGATTGTTTTGAATAATGTTTTATAGGAATGTGAACCGAAGATGATTGGATGGACATGAAATGAAGAGAGCATCTAAAATGTTATTTTGAAATTATGTTTTGTGAAAACTCATTTCCCGATGCATACTTTGGATTTCTTGGTGCTAAAATGTTATTTTGAAGTTAAACCTTTGGAGTTTGATGTTATATGGATAGTTTTGGTTTTGGATGTTTTTTAATGATACTTTGGTAAACTTTGATAGTTTTGGTATTGTAATGTTTGGTTGCATTGTTATTTGATGTTTTTTAGTATAAAAATTTGTTGATTGTAGTATTTTTTTTCTTTTAGAATCATAATAAAAAAAATGATATTACAAGTTCGCGTCGGATTGGTGAGAATAAAAAAAGTATTTTAATGCATCAATTTTGCGAGGGATTAGCTACGGAAAAAATATCATGTCTAAAGTTTGCGACGGAACAAAAAAAAATTAATGTATAAATTTTGCAAGGGATTAGCTATGGAAAAAAACCATGTCTAAAGTTTGCGACAGATTAGTGACGAAAAAAAAAAAGAAATCAATATATAATTTTGCAAGGGATTTGCTACGGAAAAAAACTGATCACTGAAATTTTGCGACAGAAAAGCGACATAATGACTTTATCAAATTTTGTCGCTAATGCCCTGAGTAAATGTGTTGAGTGACATTTAGCGACGGATATTCTGTCGCTAAATTTGTCGCAAGGAAAAACCTCTCCGTCGCTAAAACCCTCGCTGAGAAATTAGCCATTTATTAATTACCTATGGAGTGAGTCCGTCGCTGATCCATCGCAAACAACATTTAGCGACGGAATAGCGACGGATACTTCCGTCTCTAAAACCCACGTTTCTAGTAGTGATATATATATATATATATATATATATATATATATATATATATATATATATATATATATATATATATATATATATATATATATATATATATAGAGAGAGAGAGAGAGAGAGAGAGAGAGAGAGAGAGAGAGAGAGAGAGAGAGAGAGAGAGAGAGAGAGAGAGAGAGAGAGAGAGAGAGAGAGAGAGAGAGAGAGAGAGAGATTATGATGATGCACTACATGTATTTGGAAGCAAAAGACAAACTGATTTGAATGAGTAAAAGAAGAAGAATGGTTTACAGTGCTAGCCTAAATCCAAATCCATATTTATGACAACATTAAGCAAAAGATTCTAAAGGAAAGGATTGCCATTGTCTTACGACTCAAATGGAATTTGTATGCATCGAAAGGATCTTTCAAGTAAATTACATTTAAAATGGAAGTTGTTTCTATACAAGATTCGAAATGGATGAAACTTAAACTTACTCAACCATATTTTTTTATTTCTGCTAAATTATTTTAGACTTGACAACGATGAAAGTTAAGTATGAGAAAGAAGATTTGGGTTTGATCCTGTTATGTTTCATTGTCCAGTTATAATCTACTTGCGGTTATACCATAATTTACAATCTTGATACCGTCACTCTCAAATAATTTTATCAATCCTTGTATACGAAGGGAAAAAATATGTTGTGTATTGATGGCTTAATTGTTTCACAAGTTGAGGGTTATCCTTTCATGGCAAAAAAAAAAAAAAATAAAAAAAAAAATAATGGTTCCTATCAACATCTAAAGACAAGACTAGTGCCCGACAGGTAAATATTGCTAGAAAGATGGGAATAGGATATCTGAATGCTACAAACTAAATAATAATAATAATAATAATAATAATAATAATAATAATAACTCAAACAAATCAAAGGTTAAAGAAGATGATAGTTTTGCAAACTATGCACATGACAATAGTTTTGAAATGAGGTTCTTAGTTGTTGTCATGTGTGTCGAAATTATTAGCGAATGGGTTATTTATTCCACTTGTACGCACCATATGTGTCTATATAAAGATTGGTTTAATCGGTTTTAGTTAATGGTTTTGATGACTCGCAATACAACATTAAAGTTATTGTGCTTATCCATATCGACCATCTATCAATACTCAATAGTGAACATCTTGATTTTTAATTTTGAAAAAAGTGGTTCATAAGTTTTCATATTTGTAGCGATTCAGATTTTTGCCTCTCAACTTTGTAATATTAACAATTTGGTCACTTAAATTATTAACAGTGGTGTAAGGATAAAAATGGAAATGATACGTGTCGTTCCCACATCTCATCTTTCCCACCGCCTCCTTATCCAATATCTTCCGTGTTGAGGTTCTTGATTCTTCTGATTTTTCTGTTTCATTCTTTTATCGCTCTTCTCTCAAGTGTACATTATTATAATACTAGACGATGTTTGTTACATTCCAAATATTAAGATTTTTTTTTTATCTTTTTAATATCTTGGGTGACAAGGGATATAAATATTTGTATGTAGACAAGGTTTAAGAATATAATAAAAAGCTCCTTAATCATTATAAAGGTTTATCTAAGATAATGTAAGCTCTCTGCTATGTTCAAGTTAATACAATCATAGGTTATGCCCTACATACAAGTAAGATGATCATTTTTCTCGTTAATCGAGTAAACATTGTCGAGTAGGTCATATGAGTGAACTCAATGATCATATAGGTTATGCCCTACATACAAGTAAGATGATCATTGTCGAGTAGGTCATATGAGTGAACTCAATTTTACTTCATTGAAAAAATGTAGTCTTCTTCAAGCTTATAGAAAAGTGAAACTTGAATTTTATATTTGAAAAACAATGGTTTGTTCAACAATTTAGTTCACACAACCACAAACATCCTCAAATATCTTCACTCAAATTAATTTATAAGGGGCGTATAGCAAAAAATTCCTTAGAGGTTGATAAATATTAAAGAAAGGGTTTCTTTTATTTTTAAAACACAAATTAGATCTATTCCCTCCAAGGTTTTAATTAACGTTAGACGTCGACTTAGCAAGAATGTCAAGTCTCAAGTTTTTATAAGCTGTGGCGAGCCATATAGTTTCTACTATTATTCATTTTTATATACATATATTTCTTAAGGTGGCATTTGTTTTGAAGCTTGGCGGCAAGTACAAGCCTTGGAGCCATGACGAGTTTTTTAGAACCTTAATCCCTCCCTTCGAATAATGGATGACTATGATTGAAAGGAAACCTACAAGAAACTAAAGAAGACTTGAATATACAACGGAATGGAATTTTGTTCTAAATAATTAAAACCATATTTCAAGTCTAGAGGAATTTTAAGACATCACATTGTTCCAAACAATCATTAACTAAATGGTGTATCAGAGAGTATAAAATGAAACTTTTGTTTTCAAAACTTACGGTATTACAAGTTGGTATCAGAGCCTTGGTTTGAGGGATTCAGATGTATTATCGAGTAAGTCTGGACTCAAATTGAGGATTTGAGAAAAAAATTCTAACAAGAAATGATTTTTCTAAAATGAGTAAGAGTTTTAAAGAGAAAACGAGATAAAGAAGTGTGTACAATCTGCCAGAGCCCGAACGGTGGTTTCTTAAAATACCATTACTTGTTTATATTATGAGATATGAGAGTTCCACACTAGAGGATAGGCTAGGTACTTCAGAAATTAGAGCTAGAGTTGCCTGATTCATGATGCCTTAGGCTAGGGTATGCTATTGATTGATCTTATATGCTATTTGCTCTGTATGTACTGAGTACGGAGAAACATATCAGGAGTCTTTTAGAGAGAGTTTTGAGTAATCTAGGAGATATACCTAGATGAGCATTGAGGAATCTACGAGAGAGTAGTTGATATTCGTGAGGGATAGAGTACCGTGAATTAGGATCCTAGGAGGAGGACTTGGGATAACTACAGGTTTGTGTGGAAGGTAGTATTGGACCCGTACTACTGAAAGCACTGGATCTATATGCGACCCAAGTAAGAATTTTAGGATGCTAACGAGTGTGTAGGGGTGGGTAACCGAGAGTGTGTGTGTATGTGTGTATGTATTGAGCTAGTATCTGATGATTTTGTGTTTATGTTTCCGAGACACCATGGTGCTTACCCGCAACAACCCCGGGAGCAGTGATACCAGTGACGAGGAGATCCGTAGGATCATTCATGAGGAAGTGGCTGCAGCTATCAGAGAGGTCATACCAAAGATGTTCGGGTCTATTAAGACCACACTTATTGAGACTTTTGATGAGCGATACACTGTTGCACAAAGGTTATTGTTGTTGCAGCCACCTCAACTCAAGCTGCTGCAAGGCCTCAGGGGAGTGATAAAGGCTAATCCTTGTCGAGTTCTCCTACAATAATAGTTATCACACGAGCATAAAGGCTGCTCCATTTCAATCCCTCTATGGCCGAAAGTGCAAATCCCCTCTGTGTTGGGCTGAGGTGGGTGACACTCAGTTAGCTAAAGGATGTATTCCTGACAGCATTCTCACAAGTCCGGAGATCATTCGGGAAATGACAGCGAATATCGTTAAAATTTGTGAACGATTGAAACCCTCTATAGACAGATAGAAAAGCTACACAGACAAGAGAAGGAAACATTTGGAATTCTAGGTTGGTGACCGTGTTCTATTGAAGGTATCACCCTGGAAGGGCTTGATACGCTTCGGAAAACGTGGAATGCTAAATCCAAGATACGTAGGGCCTTTCGAGATTATCGCTAGAATCGGCCCTGTAGCTTACAAACTCAAACTACCTCGCGAACTTAGTAACATGCATTCTACTTTCCACGTCTCGAACATGAAAAAGTGTCTGTCGGACGAGACTCTTGTAATCCCACTCGACAAGATCGAGATCAACGAGAGCCTCAACTTCATGGAAGAACTAGTAGAGATCATGGACCGAGAGTTTAAGCAAACAAAGCAAGCCATATCCCGATAGTGAAGGTTCGCTGGAATGCCAAGCGAGGACCTAAATTCACTTGGGAGCGTGAGGATCAAATGAAATTGAAATATCCTCATCTTTTTACTTAGTTATTTGTAGTTACTTAATTTCTTAAAATCTAATTTCGGTAAGAAATTCTCTCTAACCGGGGGATGACGTGACAACCCGAAATTTCAATCTTATACAACCATTCAATTCAATCAAAGTCAGACTCGTTTTTGCTATCTTTTATCATTGATAAAGGTCTGTTTGGGTGTTTTAAGCTTAGTGACTTCAAGAAGGAATGTTAGGAAGTGTATTCTAGAATGCAGTGTGCAACATACAAGCTGGAAAACTCCATTCATAATGAGTTTACGGCCGTAAACTAGAGTTTACGATCGTAAACACCTCCTTGGCCATAAAATCATGTCTATACATGAGTTTTAACTTCATTTCTAGTCATTTCTTAAACTTCCAAGCCTAGTTTTCAGATTCTCTCTCA